GCAGTACGTCGCTCCTACCGCATAGTACAATCTACTACCTTCCTCTTCCGAGGCTAACATGCAACTCCTAATAAATACATTAACCCTTCTCGAAGAAGAGCTACCTGCGCCAAGCATGCTCTGTTGATCGCCAAACAGTCGCCAGATATCACACACTGATTATTAATTTCAGGAATCTGGCACAAATGTGTGGTTGCCGGGAATGAATGAGAAAAACGCTCTGGTACGCTAGCGTGACCACCAAGAAATGAGTATGTTTCTTCTTGCTGTCACGTATGCATGACATTCAGCATGAAAGGGTTGTTGAGACTTTAACCTTTTGGGGATGGAATGACCATGTTATTCCTTGTTTGAAAGGATGGGGTGTTTGCACTTTAGTGACCATGTCTCCCCACCACCATGGTTTTCCAAGCTAAAAGGGTGGGGTGAAGTATCAGGTTTGATGTCCCTGGAGTATGAAAAGCGTGAATGTTTATGTAACATGGCAACAAATAAAAATGTTCAAAAATATAGCTGTATTTGATAATATATACCAAAACAAATTAAAAATTATAAGGAAATTTAGCAGTGGATAAAAGAACTGAGACGAGGACAAAATATAAAATTGTCCATGGAATAATCAAATAGTTGAAATAATTTTGTATAGTAATTTAAAATTCCAACAAATTTTTTATAAAAACAAAAGTAACATAATATAAAGAATGATGTTTTATGCAATGGAAGTTTACACATTTCCTTCTGAGTAAGCCCAGTAGTCTTATTCCGGAACAACTGCAATATGGAATTTCCTGTCAGTGATGAAAAGCAACTTGAAGTCTGGTTACTAACCCCTACATTTCCCTTCCTTTTGTGACATAAGTGCACTCCTCTAAGAATCTATTAAACTACACCTAATGATGTTTGTTGCAAATAGGAAAGGAGGCATTAAGTTTAAAATACCCCATCCTCTCAAGGCTTTTACAGCTGGCAATGCCCAGGTCTCAAAATGTTACACTTTTTAGAAAGAAATATTTAATAAATATTCCGAACAATTTTCTGATGTAATGTTTACTTGGTAACTTTTAGGAAATTAGTGTTATTCTCAAATTACTTTTGCTGTTATTAAGGATTAAGTTTAGGATTAATAATAATGAATTTAACCTGCATACATTACTGTTTTGTTCTTAGAATGGTATTAAAAGAGTAAAGTTGATTGCATAAGTAAATACTTTAATTTATTCACTTCCTATTTGCCAGTGGATCCTTAATTGTTTTCATTAATGGTCTTTCCATTTTCAGTATATGATTTCTGACAGAAACTTCACCTAACCAAGGTGCCTATCCTGTCAAATAGTTTGATAACATAATTTAAAATCTGCTTGTAACTAGATTAATCTCTTCGGATTTCTCACAAATTCTTGGGGAAAAGAGCACCGCTAGTGTAGACAAAAATAAGTCATTATTCTGTTTTTCTTTAGTCAAGCTAGGGTTTATTTTGCCAAGAACAACCATTGTCTGCAGGAGTGTTAATCATCTTGTATGTTCTATTCCTGATCATTGAACTGCAATTATGTCTCTTTATTAAGGGGAGAGTTCCACCTCCCCCCCCCAGCTCGACTTGTTCCACTTGTGGCCAATATTGGTTGGTCAACTTAGATTCAAACGTAGGTGAATAGTCTAGCTGTTTGGTTGGTTTTCGTGGTTTCCCCGTGCCATGAATATAAGGCAGTTTACCTTAAGAAATCCTCCTCAAAGGCATAAGTTTCATTAAATTCGAAATTAATATTAAAGTATTATTTTTGAGTGTGTTGAAAACTGATTTTAATTCTGGAGTTGCAGCAGGATCTGCAAAGTAGAAAGTGAATCAAATAAAAAGTTAATTACTGCAAGAAACAAATAATGATATACACCATGGCATTAAAAAAAACTTAAATGTTTCACAGATTTTGACTGCCTTACTTTTAGTGCTAGCTGAAAGAATCACTCGTTTGTGCTAAAAGTGATTAAGCAAGGGAGCATTATAGTGAAGGAAAACCATTAAAAGGTGTGGGTCTACAAGAACAGCTCCCACCACAGTGTCTGGCGGTCGCTATAGCAACAAGGCTAGTATATTTCAAACGGGCAAATCAAGGGTTGCTTTATTGTTATTTTGTTTTGCCAACTGTTACTGAGGGAAAAAGAGTTATCATTAGTCTTCAAGGCAGCCCTACGGAAAATGGGTCAATTCTCATTTCTACAGCTGCAGACTAACTGGCGAGAGCTTTTCTTATGATAGACAGATTGTAATCCTAATGCTTCAAACCAAAACATGACGTAAACAAAACAATCTCAGTATTACAACTTTACTTAGAAAGTGTTGCTTCATAATAATTTAATAGAAAATATTTCATATAGTTTTATATAATAATTATGCAGAATTGTGTTTGTAATGTGTTTTTCATGCATTAGATATTTATTCTGTATGCAGCACTCCATTGGATACTGGTCATCACATTAAAGGATAATGTGAAAAAATATGATCACCAAGTTAATGTTGCAACCAGTGCCTTATTGCTGTAATTATTTATGGTAATTAAATACAATTGAACACAAAATTGTTGTTCCGTGCATATGTTAGCGCTGCAAATATACGAATTTGGTGATAAACGATGTGGTGCACAATGAACTCGTTTTAGAATTCTGAACTGTAGTATTGTTTAAAGCGAATGTGGTTCCTGAGAGTAATCAGAATTCAGGAGTTGTGGCTTCAAGAGTATCATTTCAAAACTCATTTTGGAATTCCTAACTGTAGTATTGTTTAAAGCGAATGTGGTTTCTGAGAGTGATCAGAACTCAGGAGTTGAGGCTCAAGAGTATCATTTCAGTGAAAGTCAAAAGTGTGGAATAGTTGCTAAAATCGAGGGAGGTCAAAAACAAAGATCGCACAAGATTTGAATACTCGTAAGGTATCGTATCAAGAGTTTGGAGTTGCTTTCTAAAGATTGGATCAATTGATAGGTTGTGCAGGATTTGAATATCCCTTAAATCATCATATAGAGTTTAGAGCCACTTTTTAAGGACTGAATTAGTTGATAGAGAGCCTAGTCATGGGTGACCAATAGCAACAGCTGCATCAGAACCATTTTCTATCATTGTCACGTGAAAGAAACTACGAAGCAACTACAAGAAATTTGGTATTAGACCTGTAGGCTGCCACAGGAACTCGAATTAGCCATTCTACTACTGCACGAAGGCTTAACAAGGTTGAACTGTGTGAGAACAACCAGTGGTTTGTGTCCCGCTCACTTCCAACTTCCAGAGGGTCCCATTTAAACTGGTGTCGTCATGTTTAATGCAGCCAATTGCGATTGAGCCCGAGTATTACTTACTGATAAGTCCAGATATATTTGGAAGAGTGCTCCTAGATGTATTTTGATCGAAAGAGAGGAAAGAACAGGCAATTTGCCTTCCCTTGTCGGTGAAGTATTCCATTTCTGCGAAAGCTGTGGGATGCCATAGGGTGCCGAATTTTAGCATGCAATTTGGGGAGGAATCATGACAAATGGCTGCACATCTTTCAAGGAGGCTCTATAACTACTTGGAGATCATGTGGACGAGGTATTGGAACCCCAAGTTAGACTGTTTGGGGATGTTGTTGGTCCAGAGTTTCTGCTACTGGATGCTGCTAGGCTCATTGAGCAAGCATGGTGTCAGAATACTTGCAAACAAGTGTCACTCGTATGAATTCCCTACCTTACTCACCCAACTTGAACTTGAGAGTATGAGTGGGATGCCATAGAGGGCCTCCCTGAACCCTCCTGGAGCAAGACTTGATCAACACTTTGGTAGTTAAGTCTATAAAATCAAAATGTGAGGTATGCATAGCTGTCCATTATGACCATACACCATACTAAAGAAATATTTTTCCAAAAAAGGTAACTTAATATTTCCATCATTTTTTAATTGTCATAATTTTGGTTTTGAGTTTCAGTATTTTGCAAATAATCAACTGCCAAACATTGTAATTTATGTTAACCAAGACTTATACAATTTTCTATTAATAATTAACTCGTGCAAATTTTTATGTATTTTTTAATAAAACTGGAAATGCCATATCACTTCTTATGATTTAAATGTATTAGAATTAGCTTTTATTGTTAAAATCATTTTCTATAGCCAAATCATGTATCAGTTAAGTTTTATTTCTGTTATTCTTTAATTTTGATGACCAGTATTACAGACCCCGAGTTCAACCTGTTTACAAATGGGCTGGTTACATGAATGTGTTTATAGTTTTTTCCATGGAAGCAACTCTTTGCAAGATAACCCATGCTGTCTTTTTGTAATATGTTTCAGTTAATGCACAAATATTAAGTTTGAATTTATTGTGTTACTGGTAATTATTTATGACAAGTCTTGTTATGTCTCTCTGCAAGGAATTAATAAAAAAAAAATGCAGTGCATATAGTGCTTGCTCTCAATAGTTAAAGTTGGGGTGGGGGATAGCATATTGGTAAGGAAAGGAAATGTAAAATTTGCATCTTTCTAGAAACAGTATAGTTGACAATGTATTGGCAGGTGCCATTACTACCCTACCCTAGTACCATCATTTTAGCTGCATTAACACAAATTTGAAATTATATAAAGTCGAGTTTTTTAATGCAAAAAAATAATAAAAGCACAAGTAGCTGAAATATTTAAAACTCATTTCATTTAGCAATTTTCAGACCCTTACAACACGTAAAATACTAAAGTTAGATAAGTAAGAGCAAATTTTGTATCTGAAAACATTTTTTAAAAATTGCTAAATCATATAAATGATGCAAGTTCTGTCTAGTTTCCACATTATTTGTTTGCATAAAAAGATATTAGTTTTTCTGACTAACTTGTAAAGATAGTTGGTCAGTCAGTGGATTATGAAAAAGTGTGGGCTATCTGCCTATTTGAGGAACTGCAAACTAATAGTGAACAGCTGTTAGATATAAGTGTTGCATTTTTAGTAGAGCATTTCCTTCAGAGCTTTAAAAATAAATTGATATTAATTATCTAGGTTCGTCACTCATCTCATGAAACGAATTCAAAGAGGACCGGTACGAGGTATTTCAATTAAATTACAGGAAGAGGAAAGAGAACGACGTGACAACTATGTGCCAGAGGTTTCAGCTATAGATATGGATGTAATTGAAGTTGACCCTGACACAGATGAAATGTTGAAACAAATGGTAATGTTTGACTGCATTTTATGGAGTTTCATCTGATTTCTTGTAGATATATTATTTTAATAGGTAGCGTAAGACCTAAAATAAATATTCGAACTTTCTTTTAGAATTAATGAATTTTATAATTTGTTTATGAGTGAATTGAAATTCATAAACATTAGAAAAAATATGTGCACTGCGCAAAAAAAAATGGAATAGTTCTATATCTCCCATTGTACTGAGCCGATTGACGAAATTCAAATTGCGTTTTTCATGTCTTGAAAGTGTGACTTGGGATATATATTAGATTTATATATAGTATTCTTCTAATGTAGGTATTTTGACACAAAATCGGACCTTTTTCTGAAATGACATGCCAATTGTTTTCCATATTACCATTCTATGACTCGAATTATTCCTAAATATTAAGTTTTCAAAAATTTTGTGCAAAATTTACGGAGGAATTCGAAAACTTATCTTGGTGCATTTTCTCCAGGTTTTGCCAAGAATAATTCGCTTGGCGAACTTCTTAATATATGGCAACCTATTTTTTCCCTTTCGTTGTGCAGAAGCAGAAAGAAATTAACAGCTTTCCTAGCTTTTTACATTGTGCATGAGCGGGGGGAAAAGTCGCAGCGTTTCTACTTTCAAATAATTTTAACAAAAGTGCCTAAACCACATTTTATGTTATTGCTTTCAACAAATATGCCATATATAAGATACCAATATATAAATTCATGTATATCTTTGGAAATTTTGAATAAACTAAATTTTTGCAGGAATGCTAAGAAGTACATCTACTTTAGAATGATGGTAAAAATTTTATAGATTACAATTCATATTTTTTGGAAAAATTTATAGAAATTATTTAAAATTAAATCATAAAAAATAGGGGAATTTTATTTGGAATGAGGCTAAATTTCAAAATATCAAAGGAAGAATCAAATAAGTTTAATAAAAAGATATGTAAATAAATATATATATTTGATTAACATTAAAAAGCTAATTTTTTAAAAACTCGTGCAATTTTTGCAAGACTTGGCGATCTGATATAATTTGAGTGATATAACCACAGAATCAAAATTAAAAAAAAAAAAAATTGGCATGTCATTTCATGAAAAGTCCGATTTTTGTCAAAATACCTATATTAGAAGAGTACTATATATAAATCTAATATATATCCTAAGACATGCTTTCGACACAAGGAAAACACAAGTTGAATTTTGTCAATCGGCCCAGTATAACAGGAGATATCGAATTTCCCCCCTTCCTTTTTGCGCAGTGTACATCAAAATTATAAGCTAAATTAGCAATAGTCCTCAATTCCCCCAGTGTATTTTTTAAATTGAAAAATCGTAATAACTTTTCTGGACTGCATCGTTTTTAGATCAGTCCATTCTGTGGGGCAATGCTGATGACGTAGCTAATTCATTCAGAACCTAAACTCAAAATTTCAAGTACTGAAACATTTCTAATCTAAACCACAACTTTATTTTGTTGAGGCTCCATATTGGATAAATGTGCAGTTAAGACACAGGATCTAGCACCAAACAAAAATTCAATTCATCCTGAGTACTTTCGTGTTAGGTTTGGCTATGATGATATCTAAAATGTGATGCTCTGGTATAAAATTGTGGAATGCATATTGTGCCCATGATCATGGGAGAGAAAGTATATTTTTTGATAATTATTTGTGTCCAGGAATAAAATTATGTGCGATTCGGCTACATCTGTCTACAAGATATGTGCAATTATTATTATGTAAATTACAAAATTGTTTATGATTTCAGCCTTTACTATAATTTTCCATTTCTATTTCCTCATATGATAGAGTTACTGAGCTAGATTAAATCAAAATTAAATTGTATAATCTTTGACCACTGGTTCACATTTTTAGTTTGAATTTGACTGTTTTTGTTTAATTATGTCACCATGAGCTGTAATTGAACAAATATTGTTAAAAAATAAAATTTAATAGTGGCCATGTAAATCCATAATGACTAAGGTTATCAAACTACCTAATTTAATTATTTATATTTAACTGCTTACCCTTAAAAGTTATCTCTATTAAAGCAAGTTATTGCCTTTCATTAATACTCACTGTGGTCAGAAGATAAAACACAAAAATGTAAAAATTCAAGTAAAACTTATTCTTTGCATCTAATGAGACTTAATATAACTTATCACCTCTGGTGCTTTAATGGTTTATTGAAACCTTAAAGTAAATTATATTAACAGGGTTGCAAACCCTGGAACTCAACACCAAGCTACGACACTAATTGCATCAAACAGAGCCTAACTTTCATCATTTGCCAATCGTGCCTGCATCAGGTCTTTCAGGTTTGTTCTAATCAGCACGTCTCTCTCTAGACAAGAGCAGCAGAGGTGACAATATTCAGTCTTTTGGTTATGATTCATGCTGATTATGATCTTCTCATTTTAACCAATGCCGTTTGAGATAAAAAATCGACCTTCGATTTACTAAACCTCTAGACCAAGTATGTGACAAAATGAAACATTTAAAAAAAAAAAAAAAAAATCGGTATAGAGCTAAGTGTTAGTAAAATGTAAATGTCTCTTATCTTCTTTCAAATATGTCCAACTATTATACTAAAATATTTAATGCTGCTTGATAAATTTCATAAAGTTTATTCTCAAACTTATTAATAATTATGTTAATTCATTCCTGTTTAGTGATAATGCATTCTGCTTAAGGATTTAATTTATTTTTACAAAAGTGAAATTCGGGCATATATAATGTTTTTAATTGAATTTATTCAGTTCCCATTTGCTCATAGGTCCTTAATTTTGTTCATTAGTGGTCCTTAAAAGTACTTAATTTCCGTGTGCAGAAATGTGTACGAACCCTGAATTAATCCTTTGCAGCTTACTTCAAGTCATCATATTACATATATATAGTAATGTTTATAATCTATAGAAATATTGAAACATGTTTCTTGGAGAATATTAATGGTAGATATATCCACTAATTGGGGAGTATTCATAATACAAGCAGTTGTATTGTATTCAGATGTTTAAATTCTGTTGTTTGCCTAGTATATACATTTATTAACGCATCAGTACTTGGCTTCAAAGTTTAAAAAAAAGTTTATATAAAATAACAATAATTAAATGAAACCAATTATGTGGAATGGATGAATGATGTGTGCGGTCAATTTGTACAGTTGGGTCTGTATTTTGTTATGCACATATATGTTTCAAGATAATCATATATTTTATGTAAATTATACAGTGGTGGCCAAAATTGTGGACACTTTTGGAAATTTTTATGTTTTTGAACTTTGTATGCTTATAGAAAACGTTACGTTTCACAAAATGCAAACTTGTATATATCATTTTAATGAGAATTTATTACTGAATTCAATACAAAACACAAAATTCAATTATTTGCAATACAAAAAAAGTTAAATGATAATAGTTATCGATATACATTAGATAGTGAGGATTGCAGTGAGTTATCAGTGATTAGTAAGGTACCCTTTATTTTTTATTACAGCTTCACACGTTTCATTGAGCTGACAAGTTTTAAGCTCTTCTTTCGTTATTACATGATGCCAAGAAACAATCATAGCCTCAATTAGTTCCCTTTTATTTGATGGGCACCTCATTCGGACAAGAGCTTTCAAACGGTGCCACAAATTTTCGATAGGATTGAGGTCAGGACTGTTTCCTGGCCATTTAATGCTCTTTGTACGAAACCACTCTTTCCATATTTTGGCCATGTGGCAAGGAGCAGAATCAGTTGCTGAAAAATAAACGAAGCATTGTTGGGAAAGAGATCTCTGAGGGAAGGTAGAAGTTTTGGTTCTAGAATAGTGTCAATGTATTTTCTGGCATTCAGTGTCCCATCGATGACATGAAGGCGGCCAATACCATCTGCTGACATGCATGACCAAATCATAACACTAACTGGGTTCTTCACAGTTGCTTGAATGCAGTCAGCATGTAGCTCTTCTCCTATTCTATGTCTTACATATTTTTGCCCATCATTACCGAATAACGATATCTTAGTTTCATCACTCCATATAACTTGTGACCACTGATCATCTGCCTAATTAATGTGTTCCTTTGCCCTTAGTGTTTCTTTGCATTGCTGAAAATTAAGATAAGGCTTTTTTTTTTTTTTTTTTGTGGGGGGGGGAATTTTACCTCTCAGTCCAACATCTGTTAATCTTCTCCTGATTGTTCTTGAACTGACAGAAACACCAGCATCATTAAGATCACTTCTGATGGCCGCTGATGACATTTTCCTATCTTGGAGACATAGTCTTTTTATTCTTCTGTCATCAATAGATGTGGTGCACCTTTTTCGGCCTTTTCCTTCTTTGTTTTTTATTGAATTTGTCTCCTGATAACGTAAACAAAACTTTCGTACTCCAGATGTAATCACTGAACCACCCACCTGTCTTGCAATTTCAGCATAGGAAAGACCACTTTCTTGTAACACAATGATATTACATCTCTTTCTAGGTGTCCATTGCTTCTTGACTAAATATTAAAAATTTTTACAAAAATTCCTACTTGTAATTGCAGTGTATAAGAAACAGGTCCTCCTTCTACAGAACAAAGCAAAATAATGAATTGTTTCAAGTGTAAACATGATGTCAGCTTCTACTGGCAGTTACTAATATTTGATTGGTTCTCAGAACAAGAACAGTGATTGGCCAGGAAAGTTAGACATTACAAACCACTTCATAACTGTGTTTTTTATTTATATTAAAGTATATATAACTTTTTGTATTGCAAATAATTGAATTTTGTGTTGTATTGAATTCAGTAATAAATTTTCTTTAAAATGATATATACAAGTTTTCATTTTGCGAAACGTAACATTTTCTATAAGCATACAAAGTTCAAAAACATAGAAATTTCCAAAAGTGTCCACAATTTTGCCTTAAATTTTGTTACTCAAAACTGATAGTATTAGACAAGAATACTGTAATGCATAAGATGCCCGACTCGTGCTTGATGTTGTAGTAATTACTCAGTGAATATATTTGGAATTAGCATTGTGAAATGATATACATTTAATTTTCATAATGCCTAATTAGATAACTGCTGTAATACTTACAAATAGGAATTAAGAAAATATAAAACTAATTAATATTCATTGGCTATTGCAGAAGTTTTGTAAATTCTTTTTAAGAAATATTTACTGTTTCATTTTTAGATTTTCAAAAGATACTTTAAAAAAATTTACTTTTGCTAATTGTAAGTTTTGTTCGCTTTCATGTATATATACTTTGATGCAAATTGGAACCATTTAAAATCCATCTAAATAGTCCTTTGTGCTGAAACACATATCAATAAAAGTTTCTGCCATTTATATTACTTTAAATGGCTTAAGTAAATTAGCTGTTTCAAAACTTTCAACGGTCCCACATTTAAACTACATAACAAATCGCACCAAACTTCTATAAAGTTTTCCAAAGAAGTGGTGGCTGATTGGGTTTGTGTTACACCTAAGAAATATGCAAAAGATACAAATCTTATTTCTAGATCTCTTATTATGTGGAACAAATTTTGAATTGCTAACCTGGTTTTACAATATATTTTTTGTGAAAGCGAGCTATAATTTGACTATTAATCCATTTAAATTATGATTGCTGCTTTTATCGATCAAAAGCTATCAAAATACTGTGTTTGCTATAATTTCTGATGTATTCCCATTCAATTTAGATTTTTAAAAAAATTAATGATGAGGGCATATTTTTGGTATTTTAGGTTTAGTATTTTTAAAATGCAAGCGTTAATTAAAAAGTTTTGTTTTAACAACTTATTTTCATCTTTAATATTTTTTTGTTTTTCAGGATGTCGGCAAAATACCTGGATTACAAGTTGCAATGCCATTTGCTGGTGGGCCAAGAGTGTAAAATTAATAAATAACTTTTTGTTCACTTACATTGTCCTGTTCTGTCCATCTACCTTGATAGCTTTATTTTAATGAAATTATTCACATTCTTCCACACTTAATGAAATATTGAGTTCAAATATATTGGTTTCTGAGTTAATACCCATTTCCTAAATTTCTGTAGTTCGATAGTTTCTTGTAATTGCCATGTCAAGAATTTCCACTAAATTCAGTTAACAGATGTTGTCCATTAGCTGTTTTCTGATAGTGACCGTGAATTTAATGGAAGACTCATTTATTATCATTTCTTCAGAAATTTGATTAATTAAAAAAAAATTTGCTTCTATAGTGTTTGAAATCTACACAAAATAAGGTTGTTTTGTCTGATTTTGAAATATCACTTTCTTAGGCTCAAATTGTGGCAATACAATTTTCTTGTCAAAGTCTCTTAATAGAAGGCAAGTACCAAATAAGATTTAACTTTTCAGATGCTTATGCTTTACTTTCACTCACAGGTATCAACTTTGTAACATGCCACATGGCCATTTACTGTTGTAGAAAAATTTAGGGTGCTATCATGCCACTCGGCCGAAATCGAATTACACCGAATTATTTTCTCCGAAGGTGAAAAAAAGGGTCTGAGAGATCAGGCAATAGGAGCTTTAAGGTGGCTTACACTAACATAATAGCAGAAATTTCAATTTTTAAGTCATAGAAATTATCCGAGTCCTGACTGAAGAACATAAAACTGCTTAATGGGAGATTCGAGAGAATAATATCTAATTCTTGGGAATTCAGGGTATGAGTATCATGTGACCGTTACTAGCCAATACGGTTGGATCCACAGTGTGGTAGGCATGGTGAGTTCAATTATTTACACTTTGTACAAATAACACTTTGCCTGTCCAGGCACCAAGTCCACATTCTTAGTAGTAAACACAAAATAAATACTAGGATTAAATACTTGAATAAAATAAGATAAGATGGATAAAACTGTATACATATTTACAGCTACCACTTTACATTGTGCTGAATTGACCTAGGTCGTTGTGATCATAGTTCGTAAGTTCTGTCAAAGTATTGACTGCCGAATTCTCAATTTTCTCAAAAAAGTTGTGAGCATCCATTAGGATCTGCTCCAGTATTGGTTTAATTTTTAAATCTTCATAAATAATCGTATTTCTAACATACCAAGATGCATTAACCATCGCTTTTAGTATTTTGTTTTGCAGGAGGTTAATTTTCCTTTGTTCAGTCTTGAATGCAGTGGCCCAGGCCAGGGCTGCATAAAGCAAAATTGGTCTAATACGTTTAAGTTAGATTTCCGTCCTATGAGATTATAGAGGGACACGTAAGCTCTATTTGCTTTGTTAACTTGGTTAATTACATGGTCTTTTAAAGCTAAGTCGTTAATCAAGAATCACTACGGGATATTTAACATGTGAAAAGACTGGGATGATATCATTTCCAATTTTTATGTCATTATTTGTTCTCTCATTTTTCCTGTAACGCAGCGACAATGTTCATGTAGAGGTTGTTTAAAGCTAACTGCGGGCTTCTTGATTGCGACAAAATCATTGTGTCATCTGCATATTTTTAGTGTTTTAGACCCCAGTGGATTAGGTAAGTCATTTATAAAAATATTAAAAAGCTTTGATGCGATAACTGAGCCTTGCAGGGGACCCCACTTTGTATTACTTTCTTCTGTCCAACCCGAACTTGAAAAGTTCTTCTCTTCAGATAAGAAATCATGAGCTTCACAAAACTGATGTGGAATATGAAATTATTGATTTTATAGATCAGGCCATCATGCCAGACTCTATCGAACGCTTTCTCCAGGTCTAGGAAACATGCCGCAACTCCTGTCTTCTGGAATAAATTCTACAACATCAAGTACTTAGTGGGTCATGCTGTGGTGCTTTCTGAAGCCAAACTGCACTGGGTGGATCAGATGAAGGCATTCTAGGTGACTTGTGATAAGAGCTCTCTCGTATACTTTGCCAATCACCGGTAAAAGGCTGATGGGGCGATAACTGGTAGCTTCCGATGGGTTTTCCCCCCGGTTTTAAGATCGTAATAATTATAGTGTTTCCACTCAGAGGGGAAGTAGCAGTTTATTATGCACGCATTAAAAATGTTAGGAAGTAATGCAAAACATCTGTGGGGGAGGGCTTTCAAGGCTCGATTGTTTATCCCACGAAAACCTCAAGCTTTCCTGATGTTAAGTCTTTTAATGATATACTGAATTTCACCTGGTGAAACAAATTTAATAAAATCTTGGTTATCTTCCTTTGATGCTATTAATTTCATTTTTGATCTCCTCTTCATGTTGTGTGTCGGTCATAGGGTTTGGCTGAAAAGTCTCTTCCTCCGTATCAACAAAGACATTCACAATGCCAGCTGCGGAGTTGTGGGTGAAGCCCATGTGATTTAACGGTGTGATATGATTTGTATTTTCTTTCCGCATAGCATTAGCAATTTTCCAAACTGTTGTTTGTATCTGCACCTATGTTATCCAATAAATCTTCTCAACTGCGTGATTTAAAATCATTAATATCATTAGAAATTTTTCTGCTTAAATAATTAATTTGCCTTTTTAAGGTAGGGTCTTGAGTGATATTATACCTTTTCCTTAATATGTTCCTTTAGTATTTAGGATATCATCTGGCAGTTTTCTAGTGTATGAATCCTTACATTCACAAGGCAGAAGAACATTTTGAATTTTGGTAGATTTCGATTTCACCACAGTCTCTAAGTGGGGGATTGTAGGGCAGATTGTTCATATGTTCCGTGAATTGATTCCAGTTAACTTTAGTGTGGATTTTTGGCGGAGTAGGGTAGATAAAAATAAAAGATTACAGGAAAATGATCAGAAGAAAGCTCCTCCAGAACTTCTAAATAGGGGGTCTGGGTAATTCCTTTGAACAGAACAGTATCCAGGATGTCTCCATTATTCCCCAATTTTAAAATTCTTTCACTTTAGATAATTGAGTCAAAAAAGTTAGTTTTGCTATTAACCGAGCTCGATTTACTGGTGTCCTCTATACTTTTTTCCTGTTTGGTAGGACAGGGAAATCTTCCTTATTTAAGCTAAAAGTTTCTTTTTGCTTGGTTGCTTTGGGAGGAATTTTAGCTTTCCTAAATTTTGGGTATTTCTTGCGGGAACCATCGCAGAGGGCACGGCGTGCTGGTAGTTTTTCCTTTGTATCTTTGCAAGTATCCGTTTCATAGGGGCCTGCACTACATGGTCAGATGGTATTTCCGTAATGCTGACACCTGTGGCATTGCACAGGGCCAATTTCTTTCTTAAGGGGTTGTAGACATTATGGTGGTTGGATGTCTGCTGTCTTGGAGAGAGCACCCCGCATTTAGTTGCTGGAGTTGTTGTTGTTGAAGGTCTGGTGGCTGTATTTTCAGAGGCTATTGATGATCTGGCTGTAGCTTCTAGGGATGGCATAGATAAATGCCGATTACAAGAATATCCAATTCTCTCAATTTTTCTAGCTTCCATACTTTCCTGCTTCATTTTCTTTAGTTTCAACTAGGAATAGGGGCAATTTAATGACTTGACCGTCTCTGTAACTAGTAATTTGCCTGACTTTGCTAACAGGGATTTCGAGTTCTTTTAATTTTTGTTCAATTTCTCCTGGTTTTGTAGTGCGAGGTAATCTTTTGATTACAACTTTTATCTGCTTTCTAGAGTTAACTTGAAAAGGCACACAGTCTTTCTGAAACATGTCTGTTATTCCACGGTAATCATCTGAAGTTTTTGCACGAATCGTTAGTGTGTCTCCTGTCATCCCACCTTTATAATTTTTTATATTTAGCTTATCCTCAATTCTTGTTTTAATTTTCCCCCGTCTCCTGCAAATTCACAGAGTACGATGGGGTATGGCTGTTCTTTTGGGGGTTAAGAATTCTCCCTCTTCTGTGCTATCCATTTTATTATCATCAGATAATTTCGCAAATTTATTTTTCTGTCGGTGGTTCGGCTATTTCATTCTCCAAACGTGTTTCTCAAAACCCTCATCATTAATTACTTTTTTCTTTTTAACTCGTGTAATTTTAACATTTTCCTGATTCAGATCTTTCATTGTGCTAGTACTTTCCTGATTTTTGGCTTTAAGCTGAAAATCATTAAGTTTGATAGTTATCTCATGAATTCTCTTAGTAACCTGCAGAGCTTTTAAACCTGGAATTATTAGCTTTTCTCGTTCTTTAACCAGATCGTACAGTTGGCTAACTTCTGTCGGTGATAAATTCGTTTTAGATCCTGCTGTAATCATTCCACTTAGTGTTTGAAAGAACTTTGTTAGCTATTTAGAGAATCAAAAAGTTATGGAGCATTTTTTGTCATAATTTTTCAGAATGCAGTGCCCTTCATTTGTTTTCGAATAAAGTTGCATATTCTATATGACATCTGATAGTACTTTAAAGACTAGTGCGAGTACTTTTAAGAGCGATAAATAATTGAATTTAGCTTTACAAAACCAAGCACATATGAGCCCACACATATGGATCAATGCCCTGACTTAAAATGTGTGTTACCTTTCATTTTGGGGGAAGTAAACTTTGAAAATTCAATTGTTTTAATTCACATTATGAAAAAGTAATACTAGAAAATTACTTCATATTTTTATGTATTTAAAACGTGTTTTTAATTTTTTTTTTTTTTTATCTTTTTGGAATACCTTCTAAAAATTGGATGTGTAAACTACTAAAACTATTTTCTGCATTATTCAGATTTTTGGTCGGTTTTAAATTCTCTACTATAAAATAGTTTTTTAATCTTTCTAAATTATATATAGTCTATCTAAAAAATTTTTAGAGGAAACTGCAGATCTTTGGAGTTTTGCTTCATAAATTTTAAACATTCCTGTATAAAATTTATACAATTTAACAGTTTCATAACTTGACATATTTAATGCAAAATTTTAACAATTGTGCTCACAGAAAAGCTTAAAACTGTTGTGTATAGTTACACTTTTATTTACACTTCCACTTTACCAACAAAAGTACTTAATATAAAACATTTTTTTAAACCAAACTGAGATAAATAGATAAGCTTTATTAGAACAAAATTTATTAACAATATTTAAAGTGTTATTCTTAAATAGTTGTAATTGTGTTTTATCTAAATAGAACATTGATTGTCAATTAAAAAAATTCCAAAATTGAAGATTTTGATTATGAAATAGTAAGCCAACAAATAGAGACAAGACTAAGAGTTAATTGCAATTTCAAAAAATCTTTGTTTTAGAAAAAAGATTAAAAAATATCATTAAACTTAGTCATTACTATCACTTTCATCTAGAGATTTGCATTTTTTCAGCAAGCTTTGCATGGACAGCTTCATGTGGCGATTTAGATCGATGTAATCTTCTAAAGCATCATTTACTATGCCTAAAAACATAGACGGCCATAGCCGTTGAAAGACTAAACGTTTTTTTGTGGTTTCTTGAACGTAACTCAAATTTTTCTCCACAATCTTACTCCCTGTCGTTTTGTATCCAGGTAAAGAATACTGAAAGAGAAAATACACTTGATTACAATTGCATCAATTTGCAGCAACACAGATAAGTACATTGAAGTGCCAAAAAATACTAGTATAGATGAATTTTTGGAAAATGCACCAACAGTTACTTGCTAGGTTCGTATAAATGTATATGAATAAATAATAAAGTACACATATAAAATGATAGGTATTACAGAAGTTTTATATTAGTTATCCACACATCTGATGTAAGCAATTCTTCATGTGGCATACATAATATTTGGAGTATAAAGATGGGCATTCCAAAAAGGCGAAATTTGAATTTTTTACATTTTTAAATGGTGTACCGGTGGCTTGGCAAATGCGGTCAAGAGCAGGAGACTAACGTTAATTACGGAAGGGGAAAGTAAACGGCTGTGTTAGGGATCATAAGAGGAGATATATTTTTTTTTAAATGTGTTTTTAGGTCTCATTCAGTATCAGTATATCATTAACGTAATTAATGAAAGCCATTTGAAACCAAAATAGGATTTGCACTAGTAAATTATAGTTAAGAATAATGGCCCCCATTGTTCTGATTATTACTAGAATAATTTAAAAGATTAAATCCGATAGTATCTTAAGATGTTTTTGCAGTTGGAAAAACAAGAATATAACTCATTTTGATTCACCTTTGTTTTCTTCATGAATGACGAATATCTGTTTGCCATACACGTCATCAAATAGGTAATAAGTGTTCAATCCATAAGATTATAAGTATTGATTAACATATCCTATCCTATAACTTCTAATTGAGGCTTTCTAAGAGCAACCCCCTTAATTTTGACTCGCAGCTTTTAATTTTAGACTAAAATATGGGCATAGAAACACTGTGGCATGAGAGTGCCTAGTAATAATTATTTTAGCGTCGCTAAAAATCATTTTCTGGATTCTCATATTGATTTTTTTCCAAAAAATATTAAAAGCTGCAATTGACGAGTATGAGCAATGCATAATACATACATATACAGTCAAAAGTCGTTAATCCGGACTCGTCGGGACTTCAGCGATTCCGGATTATAGATCATCAGTTTAAATCTGGTAAAATGGCATGCAGAAATTATAAAATTAAAAAATGAAACCGTAATTTACGAAATAAAGAACAATTATGATTTAAAGGGTATCAAAATTTACAAAAAAAAAAGCTTAATATTTATTTGTTTACTTATTAAACATTTCTTTCAATGTAAGTTGTTTAAGTTGCTTCGTTTTTTATGTTATAATACATTCTCTTTAATTCTATAAACAGACATAATTTCTTGTTCAGTTAAAAAGTTCCGCTGTTCAAGTGATATAATTGCTGTGTCGAGAATACCGACTAAGACTAATTTGTCAATCGCAATTTTTTCGTTTTCAATTATCTCTGTCACTTTCTTCGCTATCGGAAGCGAATTATAATGACGAGGCATTTGATTTAAATCATATCAAAGACGAGATGAAATACTACATTGAGTAAGCAATTATAAGCCAAATAAAATAAAAACATCTGCCCTTAAGATAAGGATAGTGCTGACAGATCAACTTCCAATTCAATGCACGCCGCGGCAGCGTTAAAGATAAACGTTAAAGTTTAGATAAACTTTATCCATTTTTTGCAGCAATTCCACTTTTTGTTTAATGGACTCCGAAAGTATCCTTTACATATTAGTAAATATATATCGGAAATTCTATTTGACATAATCGAAAGTTCAAGCTTACTTTTATAAAATTGCTCTATAAGTCTGCAAAAAATAATAATCCGGATCCAATTCGAAGATTAAGGAACAATGCAATCTGCAACATTAACTGAAATAGATAATTTTAGCTTAGCTTATCCTGTCCGTTATACATTAAACGCGCATTCGTAAACGTATTTTGCGCACACGCAAATTAGCAGCGGTGAAGGTCTTACGCGACGCATGCGCAGAAAGTTTGTAGCTTTGAGGTCCGAATTAACGACTTTTGACTGTATAACGTAAGCATACGATAAAGAAAAATGAACCCCCAACAAAAGCTAATCGACTGCTATTGAACTCTAAAGAGGGGTTTATCAGAGGGAAAATGGCAATTAAAATTACATTTAATTGATTTTAATTATTTATTTACTGTATCGATTTATTACTTATTGTAATGGATTGGAATATTTGAATATGAATTAGCTGAATATTTATTTAAGAAAAATATTATGACTGCGAGAATAGGAAAAAAAAAACATTTTTTGAATATTTACTTTCTTATAAAATGCAGATGAATTCATTTTTACTCAACGAAAATCAAAATTTAGTAGCTAATTAATCTGTCATGTATCAAGCACTTTAGTTCAGTGATCCGTATTAATGTGTTTTAGTTTTAAAAAAAAATTTAAATGCTTCAAGAATAATTAGAAAAGGGCATAATTCTCTTCTTATACTTAAATTCTTCAATAAAAAGACTGCATTTTCAGCTATAACCAAGTGAAATAATTTTCTAAATGTAATTCAAAGCATGAAAAATAAGGTACATAAACAGCTTAGAAATGGAACTAGCATTGAGATTCTCTTTAAGAAATATGGTGAAGCTTAACAAAATCTACGAAGTGAAGTAATTCCGTAGAATATTTTCTAACTCTTTATGATTAAATTGCACTCAATTATACTTTATAAACGACATGTAAATACTATTTAATGTATGTGGGGGGGGCTCACTAGCGGCTGAGCTGTAAAGTCGTTGAACTCTGGCAGGTCGATCCGGGGTTCGAATCCGGATCGACGGGGATGGCTGTATTGGCGTTTTCGAGGTTTTCCCCACGTGTAACGTGCATGAGAGTCATTTTTGCTTAGAAAGTTCTCCACGAGGCACCCTTACCCTTAGGCAAATAACCGTCAAATGCTTTGCTATAATCAAACAAACCAGACCAAACAATAGATATATAAATAAGTAGCTTAAAAAACTGCTATATTTTACGTATACTTATCAAGTAGTATTTCAATATATAATGATTAAAAGAAGGAAAAGTCGGATCCTAACTGATTTATATAATGTAATCCCTAAGGCCCTAACAATTCTGTTCTCACTTAAAGTCCTAACCCAAAAAGAGAACAAATTAAACTTCAGATACGTATACAGTACTCAATCTAATACAAATATAAAAATAAAATATGTACGAAACCTAACTCACTATTTATATTGATATACATATGTAATGAATATTGTATAATAAAGATATTTTATACCTTGTTCTATATTTGGTTCCATTTATATATACCTATGCATAGATATATATAATTTAAGGATTATAGTAGTAGTTAATAATACTACTACATATAAAACACAAAAGTGCATCCATAATGTATCTTTTAGTATTATTTAACTTAATTCTTAAGGATTTTCTGTAGTCTAGTTTGCGTTATTTTATTCATAAGTCTGAAATAAAAACAACTGCTGTTTATACGTCATTAGAAAATTAACCAAAAAGCAGCGACCACAATGTAATTAAGAAACAGTCCTTAGCCGTGAAAAGGTTGAAAGCATTCGGTTATGACTATTATCTCACATACTCAGCTACTTCGCATACATGGAACATAGCATTCGAAATTAAAAACTCTGATATTTACTACAAATTCATTCGTGTAACAAATATGTCTTTCTACACCTATGGCTTTAAAAAAAGATGTTATTTATCTTACAGTTTATCGTTAAGTAATACATTTTCATTGTACAAAATTGCATTCATTCGAAGAATTCAATTTCTATTTTCCTCTGTATAAAACTGAATGTAGAGAAGTTAGATGTTTAAATGACCCCCACATTTCCTCTAGACCACGAGCAAAATTATCCCTTACGTTTCAGCCCCCCTGTGAAAAAAGGGGTTCTAAATTTACGACCTGACCGCATATGAGGGTATTTCGGTGTACCATGCCTGTATGACTGCAAAACTTTATAACAATAATGTGATATAATAGAGTCTAAGAGTCTATAACAAACCAAACTATACTTGATGAATGTATGACACACAGTTATGTAGCTTATCTGATCTTAGGTTTGATTGAAACAAGTAGCTGGGTTTGGTTTATTTAATTATGTCAAAGCCTCGAGGGATATCTGCCTAAGGAGGATTTTCTAAAGGAAACTGACTCATATATACGTTGGATTCGAACCGAACTATTAGTGTTCAGCGACTTGGCCATAGTAGTAGCTCAGATTAGCAAGTCCAAGCTACTATTTCTTACTGTTTCAGTTTTCAAATAGGAAAGATCTCTATGCAGAGAAAAGCTTATGAATCTATGGATTTCATGTTCAACTATACTGACTGGTGGATCTGTAATGGAGAGAGGATCTCTTAAGTACAGTCAAAAGTCGTTAATCCGGACTCGTCGGGACTTCGGCGATTCTGGATTATAGATCATCAGTTTAAATCTCGTAAGATGGCATGCAGAAATTATAAAATTTAAAATATGAAACCGTAATTTATGAAATAAAGAACAATTATGATCTAAAGGGTATCAAAATTTACAAAAAAAAAAAAAGCTTAATATTTATTTGTTTACTTTATTAAAGATTTCTTTCAATGTAAGTTTTGGGCTGGGATGAGGATTAAAACAGCAACATGATCACAAGTTTTAACAGGTCATCCAAAATTTCTCAGAAGAAACAGGAGATGTTTTGTGAAATTTATTCTGCAGAGAAAAATTTCATCTTTAACTTCTACATGAAATTAACTTTAATATGTAATATACTGCACCCTATTTGCATGCATGGGAAAATTTTAATTTCAGTGTTTACTCCTCGAAAGAGAGACAGACTTGGACATTCCATGATGCTGTAAAGCAGTGGTTCTGTACCTCCTTTGGCCCATGCAACCCTTTCACCACAGCACCACCCCTCCTTTCCAAAACTTGATAATTACATTTATGCACTTAAGTTTTAGATTATTTTCTAATATGTTTTATAAATTAAACAGTACAAAAAATGTTTGTAAGTACCAAAACTTGAGCGAAAGCAGTTTTTTACACACATAAGCTAAAACTTAATAGCTAAATAAAAGGGCTGACCATATTCCTGGTTGAGAACCCCTGCTGAAAAATATATATATATATATGCTGATGTGCACAGTATCTTACATTAAGTTTTATCACAAAAATGAAAAATGCATAATTTGTAATTACAAACCTCAAAATCTGGATTATAAGTAAACACAGCTTTCATCACTTCTGGTGCAACTTGACAATCGGGTTGCCTTTGCAAACTATTTGGTGAATATCCTTTTTCTTTCAAAAACATTTGCTTTACTCTAGAAGTAAAAACATTGGTTTACTCAATAAAAGTTTACTTATAATGTTGCATTATTAATAATTAAATAAAGATTTAATAACAATTTAATTAGTTTGGCAATTTAAAGTTAAGCAGTTAACAGGCAATTTAAAGTAAACAATTGTCAAAAATTAAAACTTACCTAGGACTATTTAATAGAGAAGATAACCTATACTTTGGAAGTAACAGAGATGCTGCAAAGCCAAGCCCACCAAAAATATCTTCAGCTTTCACTCTTTCTAATTCTGTTACCTGTATGCACAAAATAATATTCTATTATAAAACAGAAAAGTATTTTTTCATAAATTTAGATTTATTAGATAGATTATTAAAAAATAAAATGCTTAAAATGGCATTTTACAAATAAAAAGGTTAAAAGTCAATTAATCCAAATAAAAGTATTTATTATTTACTAAATCTTTGATATACGATTCTCCCTGCTTTATGATTTATTTTTAAAAAAACTATATTGGCATATTTTTCAATTCACACACATTTAAAAAAAAGGGGTTTGCTTTTATGAAGACAGGAGAAAAGTGAAAATATGGTTCAGCATTTATTCAATGCAATTATTGAATAAAAATAACATTAATTATGATAGAATACATATATTTATGGAAGATTTTGTATGCTATGTTGATTATGTGAGAACTACTACTCTGCAGAAAAATATAGCAGTCAAACTTAATATAACAGCATTTTGCATCAATCGCAGACAAATAATTTTGATTTTTGACATAGGGCCATGGGCCATTCAGGCACAGATATTGTTGTAGACACAGTGATAATATAAATGACAATAATAGATGATCTCTGTTTTCTCTCTTAAAACACAGACACTTCATCTCAATTTTGTTATACCTCAATGCACATCACTATTTACAACTTTCAGTAAACTCTTCTCTATCATTTCAGTTTTGGAAGCTGATACTATATTGTAATGTTATTTCTATTAAGCCTCTGAGTGACACAGAATTTTAGATATGTATTGAAGACCTGTATTCAAACAGCATATATTAGTTGAATTGTATAATTACTTATTTTAATATCTATTTTCATAAACTTACATTAAGATGATATTTACATTATTAAAGAAATTTGTGACAAACAGATTCAGAGCTTTTCTTGTAATGGACAGATTATAATTAGGACTGCAGCCTACTTGGATGACAATTTGCAAAGAGATCCAAGTAAGGTTTGCAGCACTGATGCAATTCATTAACAAAAGACTTTTGACACAATTTAAGTAAAGTGGGCCCATAAGATAGTAATATGGGAAGAGGGACATGAGAATGTCCATAGCTTCTTCCCATACAAATTAACAGTAACTGCTTCAATTTATAACAGTTTGGTTCACAAAATGTCCAAGAGAAATACTCTGTTAATACAATATTTTATATTATTTATCATAAATCAAAAATTGTCACTATGATATATCCATTACAGTTGATACTATCATTATTTTCTCTTACTCTAAGCAAATTCGGAGAGAGGCAATGGATGTGTGTGTGTGCATAGTGTTGTTTAAAGCTGGTTTACTTTCTGAGAGTGATCAGTATTTATCTGTTATGACCCAAAGGCATCATTTAAAAAAGTGGCAATTAAATAGCAAACCAGAAGGATGAGTAAACAAAAACAAAGGTCACCTATGACCTGAATATCCATCAATCAAGGACTAAAAACCACATTTTAAATAGTTAGTAAATAGCCTGTTCAAAGGTAGCCAAGAGCAACAACTGCATCTAAAAGTTTGTTTTCTGTCCCTGCCAGCATAATGGGGGGAGGGGGAATTGAGGTAATTGAAATTCAGGTTGCCGATAGAATTTGAATGAATCATTCTACTGCTGACTAAAAGCTTAATGACCTAATGGGGAGAAAAATGATTTGTGTCCCATTCACTTCATTTTCCAAGAAGGGCCATTTAAGATGGTGGTGACAAGAGCATGTCCAGGATCCAAGCCTAGGGAAAAGAAGGGGGGGCAAATGACTTTAGAATTCAGAAATTAAATTTGACTGAAATATGCTTATCAGTAGTCAAGTGGACAGACAGCTGAGCAGTAGATATCTGGCCCAAGAGTTTGAATTGCAGTGTGCTGGCCAGCTGCATTAGCATTTCCGTGATTTTTTGCAAGTATACAGGTAAGGCTAGCGGCATCAGCACTTACATGATTTTTTGCAAGTACACAGGTAAGATGAATACAACCGTTTCTGTTAGAAAATCCTCCTTAAAGACATCCCTTCCCTTAGGCAGATAGAAATGATTAAATAATTACATGTGGGACCCATAAAAAATATTTTTGAGTAATTTAAATAATATCTCCTTGATAAAATATCCTTTTATATGTAAGACTATTTATCTTTTAGATCAGCTTATGAAATCCTATCCAAGATTACATATGGATGAACGTAAATATTCAAAATACACTCTTTTGCAAAAAAATCGAAGCACCACGAAGGAACGTGGTTGGTTTTGATGAAATTGAATATGTGTATAGCTCATAGACAGATAACAAAATGATTAAAAAATCAAGGTCATAGTACCTGTTGCCGGCTCACAATCACTCATTGAGTGTTCAAATTAGTAGTTGATCGAAACTCCCCTGGCAGCAATGCATGCTTGAATTCCTCGAGGCAAGGAGTGGTAGAGGTTCCTAATGTCATCCTGATGAATGCCCGACACATTCTGCCAGGCATTCATCAGTTGTCGCTCCAGATTTATGATATTTTGTGGTGCCCGAATCTGGCGGGCCTACCCTGTCCCAGACATGCTCGATTGGTGAAAGGCCTGGTGACCAAGAGTATCGACCACGCGGAGACAGTCCAGAGACTAGCCCAATCAGCCTTTGTAAAACAAACCGCTGGCCCCGTCCTCTCCAAACACGAACACGGTGGTCATCTGCTTCAAAAGTCAAGCGGGATTCATCGCTGTACACTATATGATGCCAGTCTGATCGGCTGCTACACCACTCCAGACGACGCTGCCGATGTTGTGTGGGGTCGAAGGCAAATGTCTTAAAAGCCTCTGTGAGCATAACCACGCCTCAAACAAGCACCATGAGATGGTGGATGGTACCATGTCGATGGTATACACATGGCTGTAGTGTGTTGAATAGTCGACAATGATACCGTTGGGGCGATTCGGGCCTGGCGGACAATCATCCAATCTTGCCTCGCATTTGTGCTCCTTGACCTTCCAGAGCCTTCATCGGCAATTTCCTTGTAGCAACCATTGCTGCCAACATCTTTGCACAGTGTCTGTATGCTGCAGGTGGTGGCCTACTGCTCGGGATGACCACCCAACTTCACACAAACCTACAGTGCGACCACGTTCGAAGTCGTTTAGTTGTCTGTAAGGTCTTTGATATCATCATAATGGCATTTTTAGTAGCTTCTTTATGGAATTACAATGGCAGCAACAAAAAAAAAAAAAAAAAGATAAATTTTCTGCCTCTGTTACTGGTTCTATACTTTGCAAATTGTGCATTAGAAATGCATGCAATGATTGAAATTCGTGTTCATTTACCTTGAAACTTTGATCATGTGCATGTTCGATCAAGATATTTTTGCATACCAAATTTCGTCACGAACACAAAAGTCCTTCTTGGTGCTACGAACTTTTTGCAAAAGAGTGTAGAACAAACTTCGAAATTCAATAAGAACTTTTTATACTGCATTAAACTCTCTTTAACCCCTTAACTGCCACGGGCGTATATATATGACTTGCTCAGCCTACGTGTTATGTGTTAACTGCTCCGGGCTTATATATACACCCTTCCAAACTACTATCATTTGCTTTGCACTGCTGCCCGTAAAATTATTTGCAAAGCTTTGGAATGCAACACCACAATGACAAAGTATGCGAAGGAGGATACTATTTAAGAGGGGTGTGTCTAAAGCAGTGAAAGTAATGACTGCGCAGTATTAGCTGGTGTTTTTCGAGTTAAACTTTTTTTTTTTTTTTTGTGTTTGTTCTGTGTCCTTCGTTTTTGTTTTCTTTTTGTACTAGGTTCCGTATGCGAAGGAGGATACTATTTAAGAGGGGTGTGTCTAAAGCAGTGAAAGTAATGACTGCGCAGTATTAGCTGGTGTTTTTTGAGTTAAACTTTTTTTTTTTTTTTGTTCTGTGTCCTCCGTTTTCGTTTACTTTTTGTAGTAGGTTCCAGGAATAAAGAAAGATATAACGGATGTTTCAAACCCATTTATTGTTGTTGAATTAATTTTTGATGAACTGCTTGTGCTTCATATTGTTACTGAAAGTAACCGTTTTGTAGACGAGTATATGACCTTGCAAACGAAAAATCAAGAACAAAATCGTGGCATTCAACCAGTTCAGAAGAAATATATGTTTTTTTAGGCATACTGATTTCACAAGAACACTGAAACCTGGTATTACACTTTACTGGTCTAAAAATGAATTGATCAAAGCTCCATTTTAGGGATCTTTTTCATTATACTTACATCTTTTTATTATACTTTTACTCAAAACATTAAATTTTGTGCATTCATTTTTTTATTTTATTCTTCATTTTGTGAAAATAAACAGTTTTTAGAAAGTAAAACTTGCACTTATTTTCCCACTAATACATCGCATAACTATGCGCACCTGTGTGAAAAACTGTGGCACTGGGAAATGAATCTTGTGCATTTTCCGCTGCAGTTAAGAGGTTAAACAAATAAAAATAGGTTGATAATAAATATTAACGAAAAAACATAATGAATTTCGTGAAACCTGAGAGTAATCAAAATGTAAACAAACTTTAAATCAGATTTTGATCTCAATAAATGTTTAAAATATTTGCAGAAAATGTTTTTAGTTACTCACAGTGGTACCATTTATCAGCTCAATGGTAGGACTTAACCTATAAATTGCATACATTCTCCAAAAAGACAACTGAAGTACAGGATTTCCTTCACTCTCAATTGTTAGAGTTTTAAGTCCAGGAATTTGACCTAAAGCATTAAGTTGTGACAAAGATTCTATACAAGTGCATTCAAAAGAAGCTGCCTAGAAAACATTTAAAGATCATTATTAGAATAATGCAAAAATTTTACAATATACGATTTAAAAAAAAAAATTCTATTCACGTACACCTACAATTTCAAGTTTTATTATGGTGACCACTGAAGCAATCATTTTATAAAAGTTGTAACTGATTAGAAAAGGAGGGCAAACCAAAAAGTTGGCATGAAAATTATTTCAGTTTTGAAAGTTTATAAAAAATCTTAAAGTGCAACTTTTTTATTTTCCGTTTTTTGAACACAATGAAATGAAAAGTTTAAGAAATCTTTATATTTCAGAGGTTTTTCTCCCTTCATAATTTTTAAAGTATTAAGTTAAGTTTAATTACTTAAGTTGTTCCCAAGTATTTTCAGAAAAACACAATTTCTATCAAATGATTACTACAAACTTGCCAATAAAAGTTTACAAATCCAACACAAGATAAATTCAGGCTTCTAACATTTTTTTACTCTTAAGATACAAATGACTAAAATTACAGACAGCATCAAAACTCTCAAATGTTGCCAAGAGAAATGTAAATCACACCTGCTGCAACACTGTTTGCTACTCTACCCTAAATTATTTTTTCCAGATTCATTGATCTTCTGCCTGACTCCACAGCATTATAAAGATTGACACAGCTTAGCCATGCAGATCTTAGAAGCCAATTTTAGACCTAAAACACATTAATTATTGTTCCAAGCTATGCCAGGATACTAACAGCTTAGGGAGGTGGTGGAATATCTTACCTAAATAAACCATCTCCTTTAAGATTTATATGACAAAGTGGCTTTTTAGATATGCTACAGTATTTAAAGGCCTAATCAAGTCAAACTAATGGAATTTTGAAAAATTTCCTTACAGCACCATCTTAACAAAATCAACTTAGTAGACTATGACATCTTTTATTATGACAAAAATTTCTTGACAGCACCATCTTAACAAAATCAACTTAGTAGACTATGACATCTTTTCATCAACACAGTGCAGCAGGAAACAAGATTCTTCTGATCACAAAATTCAGCATTATTCTGTAGACTGACTTCTGATGCTTCTGCCTCTAGACAAAGTGCTCAGATAATGCATACTTAGCAGTGGCAAATAAATAGGATTTTTTCAGAGGTTTACAATGCAAGTCTTCCTTCTGATCATTTATGTTCCATAAAAACACAGTACTCAGTTAAAATATAAATTGCACTTATATGGGTCATCTAAAAAAGCTCAGGTATTAACAGCACATAGACACATGCCATGTACATGCTGGTTATGGCAATGGTTATATCCATCAATGATAGATTACTATCTCCCCAAAAACAGTATGATCCAATCTTACCAGTAAGTAATACATCCAGGATCAAAGTTATACACGTTGTCCAATTCATTCATTTTTGTCAATTCTGATATAGATTTTGACCTGTTTATAGCTTATGTTTGTTTCATTTGAGTTTATGTTTCTTGTTCTATTCTGCTCAAGAATGCTATTATATATTTTTCATCCCTGCTGTTTCTATTATTTTATTATTCACTATATAAACTACATCTAATGCAAAATAATTTAATTTTATCGGCCATTACAATTCACTACTTACAATGGCTTTCAACTTTATTTTTTATAATTTTCCAAGAATTTCTGATACCATCCACTGCTAAATTAGGTAAAAAGCAACCTTAGATTGGCACAGGTTTTAAATAAGATTAATAGTATAGATTATGATTATAGAGCTTTATAGATTTCAAAGGTGAGTGACAAAGGTCCCTCTTCTTCAGAAGCAAAATTTCTACTCTAATCTGAGATCATCCTTATACCCCAAATTTGACATTTTTACACTACGTTTCACGTCCATGTAAATTAATAATTGTGACTGAATGCCATTCATTACTTATTGTAACTAAATATTTTAACATAAATCCATTTCAAACTTTAGTAAATTTCCCTCTTTATTTATAAAAAATCTCGGTCAATAACAAATAGTTTAAAAATATAAAAACATTACCTAGAAAATGGAGCACACTCCCACTCCATCAAGATAATACTTAATGTCAATTAAAAAAAAACTACCTTATTCAAAAACTGTCTGTTTCCTTTAAAATATTTACTCTTCATTGATTAAATAAATCTTCATTTAATACACAGTTTCATTTACAACATTTTAATAAAAACCTACAAGCTTATAGAAGCTTTAACTGCTGAAACTCATGCACTGTTCACATTAACTTGACACTGCATCTATAGAAATGAATATTTACTATCAAACTTCAGAATTCTTCTATGGTTTTCACATCTGCTTAACCCTTAGATGTGCCCTGAAACCACCAATTTCTGAATTTTTCTCACTCTTCTTTCCAAACTTTTTGAGGAAAAACCAATTGATTATTTATCTTTTACCTATAAATAATGCAAAATGAGAGCAGAACCAAATCTTTTTAGGTCTTAGTATTTCAAATCGGATGCCTTTTAAAATTTGTTTTCAATAAGACAAAATAATTTACTTTTATTAATATAAGCATCTTTAAATTTCAAAAGTTATTAATCGCAGGTCATTATTTCTATCATAAACAATAAAAATACAGCAAAAATTAATCTGCATATATAAACAACCTATGTATATTTATGGCATTTGCTTTGTGGTTTCAGGACACGACCACTGAGCAGCTAGAACATTGTGTTACAGTGCTCACAATTCCCTACAGGCTCAGTGGTCGCACCCTGAAACCATTGCTCTTCACAATGGTATTTGCTGCTTTCAAATAGGAATGTTTATTTTTACCCAGATAATTATAAGGGGTTTAGAAACCAGAGAGCTATTTTATTACTAAACAATACATGCACCTGTCCAGAGGAAAAGTCTTTCATTTTCAGAGATTTTCTCTGAACTCAACACGCTTGCTTCCTAAGCTAGTAGTATGATTTTCTAAATTATTTTCTGTGGTTTAAATAAAATGCAATTATATTTTTCGATAATTAAAACTAGAAATTGCATAATATGCATATTATAATGAAAATTTAAAATATTTAACACAGAATATATTCCAGTAAAATGCAAATCCTGGCAGTGTACATTTTGTAGCGCTAGGGAGAAACCTCATAGAATAAGATGCATGATGCATGTGCGAAACGTGCAATATTGGCTTATGGATGTACCAAAAAGAAAAAAAAAAAGCTTTGAACAGTTTCATAAAAAATAACTTTGTTCTTTTGCATTTTTTTTTTTTTTTTTTAATTCTACTGGGTCTATTTTATATATTTATTCGAACTTCTTTATTAAGTACATTCTTATGTTTTCATTGCTGTAGAAAAATTAAATAAATGTTTAATTTTTCATTTTTTCTGATGATTTACTTTATAATACAAAGTAAAAAATTTACATATAATGCAAATTTTGTTTAATTTGCAAATTTCGTCATTCATTGGAAATGCGCATTGAAAAAGGTAAGTCGTTTTTTCCTACTAAATCATTCAGTTTCAAAGTCCTAGACAAGCGCTAGTTTTACAGGGAGACCACCAACCACAGATCAGTGGGCGAGAGTATATATTTTTTTAATTCATATATTATTTGTCTCTAGGATTATAATATTCAATTTCTACAGTTTTTAAGTTAAAACATTGTAAAAATAACATCACGTGCATCAAAGGGTTAATAATGTTAGCATTTCCTTTTGTAATGCTAGCCTGCATTCCATGTTGGAAAATGCTATTTTTCAAATAAAACAGGACATAAGTATTTTCTTTAATGAAAGAAATCCATGATATTTCTTGTAGTCTTCTGCTTCACTATTAAAGATAGCTGTGAGCTACTTTTGTGATGTTTTTAAGTCTTGGCTAAAAGTATTATAGTTGAAATAAGAATATATCTAATAGATTTTTTGAAGTCTCACTCTTATAGAAGCATCAAAATAGCATCAAAAATAATTTCGTGTGATAAAATAGAAAATCTTTCCAGTCATAAATGCACATTGCAATTGTTAATGCATCGGCTACTTATGTTGCTTATAGCAACAGATACAACTTACCCATAATTACTTTATTAATTTTAACTAGAGTTAGCTACTTTTTTCAGCTGTAATTTAAGTTTTTCATATCTAATGTCAAGGTAAAATGTTTAAGCTTACCTTTACACTTCTGTATATGTGTTTTACATTACAAAACAAAATTCTGCAAACAAAACTTCCATCTCCTTTTCTTACTCATTTAGTAAAAAATGTGTTTTAATAATGCAACATCAAAATAAAATGCATAACCTAAAAACATATTGATAAATTCTCATGGAAATTTTATTGAAATAAGTCTTTTAATATTATTTCATTGTACTTACTTCAATATTTGGAAACTGAGTTTTCATTTTGCCTAAAAGATGACAAATTGTGTCAAAAACAATAAAATGGAAGCACACTGTGTGGATAAGAGAAACAGTCTGAGGTGCCCAGGTATTGCTTATTGTAGTTGCTACAGCACCAGGACCATAAAGTTGCAAATTTCCAAATTCAAGTTCAGCTAGATATGTCAATCTTGAATCGGCAACTTCCAAATCCAGAGCAATAGAGGTTCTTGATTTCTTACTAAAAATAAAAGAAAAACAGTAGCATATTTTTATTCAGTAAAAGTCTAACAAAGTAATGCATATTTTGTATAAAGAGTCATAATTTTGCTTCCTTAATGAAAGATTTAAAATGAGTCACAAAGAAATCTTACTTAGCCTTTAGTAAATCGTAACTCCTTTTTTGGGACTTTTGTTTTGATTTTTTAGATTTTAGATTAATGCCATTAGAAACAACTTTTGGCCTTCCACCATCACATTCATTACATTCACCACCTTGTCCACCACTAAAAATAAAATAGCATTCAGCTAAATGATTGTGCCTTAATCGCAAAAGTAATTATTCAGTATTAAAAAAATTCACATTATGTTGCAATAAAACTTATTCCCTTACACATCCAGATGAAAAGTAGTTTGAAGATATTTAAGTAAAATCATACTAATCACTTAAATTTTTATTGATGGTGGGAATCAACTTAGAAAAGGAAAAAACATTAAAAGTTTATAATAATAAATTATTCTTTGTTTATCAAGTGTTCTTAATTTTCACATGAAAATGCTTAACAAATTTTGAAACAACATATATTAATCAATTGATAGAAACAAATCATTCTAATAATTTACTAATATATGTTATTTATTTTTTTTATTTAGAATAAAAACAGAACTATTAACTGAATACTTAAGATATCCAATTTTTCATGAAATTTTTTAAGAAAAATTATGATATCCAATTTTTAAAAAAAGATGAAAAAGTAAAATTAATAATTATTTATATTAGCACTGTATAAAAAGAATTCAAGATAAGTCGCTTCTCTTTATAAGCTACCATACAGAAATGCAATTTTTTATTTTACTAGAAAAATGTAATACAGTAAGGCTAAAAGTATTTACACCATGTAACAATTTCAAATCATTAGCTCTTAAAATATCAATTGCAACCCAGAAGTAAATCAGACAGGAGTTTGTTAGGTCATAAATATTTTGATGTTGTGCGAGTTATGTTACATAATTTATATATATGTAAAATGATAAAGTAACTGTTAATAATTATACTTTTTTAAGGATTGCAATTTGTTTATTACATTTTTTTCCCTTCCTTTTCTTTCCTTCCACTTTTTTTCACAGCAAATACATGCAAGTCATAATAAACTGCAACTATATATACAAGTAATTCATGCATACTTGATAAATGCGGAATCAAACTTTTTCAAAACTTTTGAAATAATGTATGCCAAAAAAATATTATAAAATACCAATAATTTAAATACCAATAAGAGCAAAACAAATCTTCTTCCTCTTCACTGAATGAATGGCTAGATCTAGATGCAAGAAGATGTAATGGTACAGCAGAAGCAATAGATGAATTAGATGATGGTAATTCTCGTTGATTTAATGTTTCAGGTTCTTTACAGGCATTTTCCCACAACTGTCGGGCAGTGGCAATAGCTTTCACTTTAGCCTCCTATGTAGCACAAAAAACACAAATTTAATAAACTATATCATCAAGTGGAAGCTATTTAGTAAATATTAATTATTTATTTAGATATTTAATCATTATCAAAAATTTATTAATCTTAAAATTTAACATGGTCTATGCACCACATACCGGAATTTTTTATTTATTTATTTATTTATTTTTTTAAGATAAACAACAAAACTATAAGCTCTTCAGAAAACTTAGAAAATCTAAATTATGTACTTATTATATAAAAAGAGGCTCAAATGTGATAATTAATATATGATTCAAAGTGAAGTGCATGCTAATAAATCTTCTATAGCATAATTATGTTTTATGATAACTAATCTGAGTTGTTAGCAAAATAACAAATTACCATTATGCTGACACAACAGCAATGCATTATAGTAGAAAATGTGAAATATATCATAATATATAATTTATTGTAAAAACTTCAAAATAATGTGAATGGTTAAAAAATATATTAATATATATATAAAAGATACAAGTATATTACCATTAAAAGAAAAATGACAGCAAATTTCACAAAACTGAAAGAACATTTACTTTCACTTTTGCTTGCCTGATACCCTCCTGTCTTCTCTGCTCTTCTTTTCTCATCAATGCATGTGCTGTGCGTCTTTCTTCATCCTATACGTTTAGAAAATTTAAAGTTTTTACTGTGTATTTTTTAATATTGCAAGGCATGCATGATCACTTCTTTTGTGAAACCTGTATTATATTAAAAAGCATAGACTATTTATTACACAGAGTGTTTCATTGCTGAAAGACCCTAAATAATAATAGAATTTTTTTTTTTTTTTTTTTTTTTTTTTTTTTTTTTTTTTAATTATACCATGTGAAATCTTCAATATACAGCATCAAAATAAATAAATGATGGAAATGACTGCCTCCTTCTTGTATGCCCATAGCAATCTGACATTCCATGTTCATAAACATTTAAATAACCAGAGGTAATTTGTGTCACCAGATCAAAACCTTAGTCCTACAGATTTTTACATAGTCCTACAGACTCAAACAAAAATTGCTGAAAATCAAATCATTGGGGGCAACATAATTTATGATTCTGCTTACCCAGCTAAGTTATCACTTTTGACTGATAACTCAAGTCAAATACCATGTAAAAGTCTTTTATCAGTTGTGTTACATCAAAGACCATGTTCATTAACATAACCATTGGTAATGTATTGTCAGTTTGAAGAACAAACAAATCAAAAGTTAAAAAATGAAATTTTGCATTTATAGATTCAATGCATGTGCCAGCTGAAAGATTAAGAAAACCACAGTTCTTAATTTAATAAACCAGACATTCTTTACCAGTTTCATAAAATGAATGAATGCATCTTCTCTTACACTTGCAATCCTGTGCATAGTTTGTTAGTCTAAGCATAACAGTGTTTGATCACTCAGGAGGCAACAGCTATGAATGCCATCAATGACAGGATTCACTTTCATTAATAAACATTCTGACCATGTTTATTATACTTTCCTGTTACTGAGTAATTAATCTAAATACTAAGCTTGCTCTTTTGAATGCGTATTTCATAGTATGATCTTCACTGGTTGTATAAACAGCAATCCTCCTTGTGCAAACCTGCACTATGAAGTAGAAAAGGGAAACGCAAAAAATGGAACATTATCGACTTGATGTAGTGGGAAATGCTCCCGGACAGTCTTGTAGAACACATTTTTTTTTTTTTTTTTTTTTTTTTTTTTATTATTATTATTCAGAAAGCCCAAAAATTGCACTTCTCCACCTTACAATAAGATTAGCATACAATGGAATGATTTCAACAAATTACAAGTTATGCAAAAAATTCTCTTATATATCTAGTGAATATAAATTTTGTCATGAACAACTCTGTTCTGATTAATCCCCATTACTGATCTTGATTGTGAACACATATTTCACTTCTGAATTTCATGTCAAATTATAATTTTTTTTTTAAATAACCGCCTTCAGTATAAATTACTTAGTTTAATCAATTTACAATTCAATTTTTTTTTTCTATTCGAATATTCAAGATTAAAACCACATACTTAAAAGAACAGTTTACATCTGTCCAAGCGACCTGCAGCGAGCACTTCGCTACGACTACTTTGACAATATAAACACCCCCTTCATCCGAATAGAAATGTATGGGAGATGAGTCAGTGAGTCCATTTCTACTTTGAACCAGTTGAAAATCTATCCACGAACTCCGAGCAGTGTTCACAGAGACGTCGTGCCAAATTTTTTCGTCATATAGAAAATTCCAAAATGGAGCAATAATTTAACTATTGCATTTTTTAATGCATATGCATTTTGTGAAGTATTATGGGATACTTCACTACCTGAATATTACGACCATTGTTTACTAATATCTAAATATAACGTGGGTATAACTACTGATCAGAATGAATTTAGGTTTTTGATATTGTAGAAAACAAATAGAAGAAAATTAAATTAGGGTATCAGATTCAAAATATTTATTTTAAACATATTTATTTCTAAATTTTTGTTAAGCAAAAAGCAGTTAAATTATATGTTATTCAAGTACCCAAAAAAATAATTCAACTAACCAATAAAATACAGTTTTTAATTTAAAAAATAAGTGAAAAGGCAAACATTTATTTTATTTTGTAGATATAAATTTTGAAAACCAGTTTCTACTCATGGCCAATTACATCTAATAAAATATAATGTAAATTTTTTAAATTTTGTTTTACATACTTTCCTTTTTATTTGAAGCACAAATCAGATTTTATTTACAAACGATCAGTCGGAAGTATTAAAATAAAAATCGCTGACAGAATGCTAATGAGGCTACTATTAACATGTTAAAATTTGAGGGTGCTGAAGAGTTCAAGCAAAAGATTAATAATTTTTGCTCAACCTCATACACAGAAAATGGCCTCAAACACTTCTGGAATAAATATGCTGATTGTGCATTTTGGCACTCTAATAAATATTGCAGAGAACTGTAAAAGTCACCTGTCCTCAGAAATCGAAATGCTATTTGCATTTAAATTTTGAGCATCTCAAAAGAATGGGGTTTTTTTGTAGGGGAATAAGTGGAGTGGCCATTTCCAATAAAGTTTCAAATTATCCTTAACCCATTCTGATGAAGTTTTTGTACCTTTGGATATCCTCACCCCGAAGTTCATTTAAGAATTGATTTAATGCTTCAAATGCCTTGCGGCGAGCTCAACAGTCACATTTTATTTTCCTTTTCTTCTTCTTTTTTCTTTTTTTCCCCGTCAGTCTGCTCCGACTGATGTAAATAATCTATTGGAGTACAGGTCTGTTCCTTCCGTTCGAGACACTCGAATGAGGGGCTCACTGTGGGTCGCTCAGACAGGTGTAAACTGGCCTTAAAACTATAACAGTTAATCTATTTCTAAAAACTATTTCCTAAGATAGTCTGCCTGCTTTGTCAGTGAGATAAAATGATGGAATGTGTCACTCTTTTTTTCTTCTCCTTTCAGTTCTGCTCACCTCCCTTAACTTTTCATGTTGGTTTTGTCTTTGATTAAAATACAATAATAGTTATATTGTTCAGTTGAGTTATTCTGGTTTAAGAATGGCTGCTGAAATGTGCCATTCTTTATCATTTCTTTGATTCTTTCTCTAGTCTTAGATTCTTTATTATTTCTTAAAATTCTTTATCACTTCTTACAGATATTGAACACCTCAGAGTTATTAACAAAACCAAAGCTTTCTACAGAAACATCTACTTGGAAAGAATTCAAAATAGGTATTATCACACGTAAAAATAAAAATGCTGAAATCATCACTGAAATAGATGAAATGTTTAAAAGATATACTGAATGTTTTCTGAATTTACTCAACATTAACCAGATACTAAGCAATATATCAGGTTTTAATAAGTTTCCTACCACCAAATATTGTCTGTGCAAACAGTTCACATTGCCATGTTTAATCATATTTTGCCAAAGAATTTTTGGCATCTGAAAGAAAAAGACTTGCTTTAGAACATTGTGTTGCGAAATTTGTAAAAAAATATTCCTATCATAAAGTACAAGGTGTCTGAAATGGAACTATGATGCTACCAGATTTCATTTACTTCCAGTTCTGTTGCAAAAAGTCAGCTACAGAATGTCACCAAAACACACGTTCAGCTTTAGGTACTAATGTTGTATTATATGACATTGTGAAGGTTTGGTAAAGTTAAAAAAAAAAGGCTTATGACATTCAAGAAGCACAGTGCTCAGGCTGGCCTACTGATGTTGATGAGGTCCGCCTGCAAGAAGATTGGAATGAAACCACTTGAGAGCTTGCTGAAGAGTTAAACGCTAGTGCCATGGCCATTAGCTGCACTATGTATCACATAAACTTGAAGTACAAGTTTAATTGCTGGGTCTCATATGAGCTGACTCCAGATGAGGACGTGTTCGGGCCTGCACTAATGTGCTCAAATATCAATGCAAAATTCAGAACAGAGGAATTCAGAACTGACACATATAATTTATTCGTGGACTTTAAAGCAGCATATGACTAAACTCACCTATAAAACTGCTGTGTATGAATTTAAAATTCCTGAAAACTAATTAAGGTAACAATACTTACTATGATAAAACTTCTTATGTAAAAATCAAGGGAAATATTTCAAGCTATTTTCATATTAGTATTGAAATAAAATAAAGTCACTCTTGCATGTCTACATTTTAACCTTGCTCTTGTAAAGAGAATTTGTGACTGCAGTTTAAAACTGTGAGACACTATTTTTGAAGGTTTTCACAAATTTTAGCTAATGTAGTTGACACAGACCTAATTTTATAAACTTCTCTCAAAAGCTTTATCTGGCTCTTATGAATGCTTCAGGACATGTTGGCTTAAAAACTAATACAGATAAAATGAAATTTATGACCATTTATGGCCTAAATAATGCCTAATTCTACCTTTTTTAAAAAACTGCTCAGGTCAGACCTGTGAAAGAATCAAAATGCACATGCAGTTAAAATTAGATTTAAAATAAAACAAGTTTGGTTTATATGCATGTTAAAATACTAAGATCAGTTTAAATTTGCAAAAGTAGATAGCATTATCTAGTTCTTAAATTAGCTGCAATAAGGATATTACTAATATACAGGGAAGAATCGTATCTACAAATTGATGCCTCAATATCTAAAATCCCACTTAATCAACAGAAATGCCAAAACATTATTTAATAAAACTATCATGTGAACCAGCTTAGCATATGCTTCAAAGATCTGCAAACTGACTCCCCCCCCCAAAAAAAAAACTCTCACCTCTTTATAGGAAAAAAATAACTGTTAAAATATTTAGTCATAAGCCAAAAAGGAAGTAGAATGCACAGAAAACCCAGATTAAGACATTTATAGGACATTAAGAATGATTTAACGTAAATATTCAAACTTGAAAGCCAAACCAAATGTATAATGTACTGTAAGAATTCTCTGAAAACATGTATGTCCATTATGGGCTATTGTGCCACTGAAGATGATTATGATTCACTTCTCTTCAGGAATTAATTTGAAGAACAGAATGAATTTATTGCTTATTATGGATTCATTTCTATCTTCAGTCTGGTTAATCAACTAATGACACCAGCTTAAAACAGCTTAGTGCAATAAAACCAAACAAGGATTGTCAGATATTTACAAGA